TAATGGTATAAATAATACAATTGACACTGTTTCATATTTATTATTGAGTAAGTGATAGCATATGGACAAAAGTGTGCCATTTTACCACATAAGTAACTAATTCAGTCATTAAATAATACAATTTAAATAGAAAAATAGAACTTTATACTGTTGTCTATCATTTACAGAAAATAAACCAAAAAAATCTAGCAACCAACTAACCTAAAAGTTAAAGAACATATTCTGTGGATAAAGTCTCTGATAAAAAGAATAAAAACATAAAAATGCTAATATGAGTTGCAAAATTGCTAGGTCCAGATCTCTGCAATTGTTTTCTTCCTAAATCATGAATTCTCTATGGGTTTTACTTTGAAATAGGTATTTCTGCTATAAAGTCTGATAAATGATATTCCTACTCTAAAGAGCAAGCAACTGGAATGCCACATTTTTGATGCATATTTTTGCAGCACAGAGGGGATTAAACTCTAAATGTCTCCGCTGTTAAAGGCCCCTTCAGACTTGCCCAAAAGAAGGAGAAAATTTTCCATAAAGCAATTCATCAGATCTATTTGGGCATGGTGACATTCTCTCAGAACTCGCGTGGATGAGTTGTGCTGAATGTTCATGTGTCTGCAGCTGCTTGGGATATTTGAGAAAAAGTTATCTTTCGGTTCTTATCATGTGTTCCCATGGGCTAGCCTGTGCTCATCACTGGCTCATGTCCTCCAAGGACTTCACAGTTAGTGCTCATATTATAGTGACATCTTCCATTTTTGGGTGTTCACTAGGTTCCCTGACCTGTGCTTTGCTTTTTCCACCTATTATATCATTTAGTGTTCACTGTGTGAGCTTAGGGGAACGACTTATTAAATGTATATCTGTTTTCTACAGTGTGAGAAGTCTGTTGAACTGAATCTTATGCATTATTAACTTGACAAGTACTTACTGTTGCCTTCTCTTGCCTCATTGTTGGTTGTTGAATCTGGGGAATACTCTGATTACTTCAATAAAGGCAGCAGTGATCAACTTCATAAACAAATCATTAGATGTAAAACACACGTGTAAACAAGTAGAGTCATTTGCTGACTGTTGATGGACTCAAAACAGTTAAAAGAAGAAGCAACTGATAGGATAAACTAAAATCAAACAACTGGAAACAAGTTGTGGTATGTTAACTGGCAATTTGTAATAAGATAAAGTGATGGATACATTTTCACTTGATTGGTAAGTGAAGAATACTTTACAGTTATAAAATAGCACTTTATGCATTTATCTTTTCATTATCCTAATGTACAGGAAGTGGGACAAGTAAATGCATCTGACTTAATGCATTTGATTTATTATTTTTTGTTATGATTTGAACCTTGTCCACTTCCCAGCATATCTCCTACTACATATCAAATGTATTCTTCTTATTGAATAATTTGTATGTTTCTGACCAAATTCAGGCCTTTAAAAAACTTCTGTGCCTTTGTCTAAACCGTTCCCTCTGCCTGGAATGCCCTTCTCATCTCCACTTGTCTAACTTCTCCTCATTCTTCAGGACTCCATTTGAACATCACCTCTTCAGACAAGCATTCTTTAAATTGTTTCATGCATGGCTCCCCCCTCTTCCTCTGGGGTAGCACACCACCCTGTGCATACCCCATTTAATATATGATATTCGAATTTTCTGTCCACTTGCCAGGTGCACTAAGTTGTGACTCTTTGCAAGCATGGCCTGTCCCTCTTTTGTAGTTTTATTTCTGTTTTTCAGCACCTCGCCAAGTCTAAACAGAGTGTGGACTCAATGTGCAGTTGTGACTTGGAGTAAATATATTCACGTATATCATGGATGCACATCTCTGGTGGCTCGGCAGTAAAGAATCCTTCTGCCAGTGCCTGTCAATGCAGGAGACATAGATTCAATCCCTGGCCCAGCAAGATCCCCTGGAGAAGGAAATGGCAACCCACTCTAGTATTTTGCCTGGGAAATCCCATGGACAGAGGAGAGAGGAGGCTACAGTCCATGGGGTCGCAAAGAGTTGGACACGACTTAGCAACTAAATGAGAACAACATATCCTGTTGGTATTTTGTAACTTCCCCAACTCCTATGTCCCTATATGGACACACATACATATCCTCACTGCATTCTGCTATGTGGAAACTTTGAGTAGCCTCATTGTGGTTTTGTTTTAGCTGTTAAACTCAAGGTCATGATCTGGCGGAAGGGACTACTAGAAGCCTGCACTCCACATTAAGGCCTGTTGTCCTTGAGTCCAGAATATGCTTGTAGACCTTTTCTAGTGAACCATCAGGGTGTTTCATATTAGCACTATGGGAATAAGCTTATGTTAAACAAGAATATGGAAATATGAAGGAAGGCAAAGAATGAGGGTCAGACAATGCAACAGAATCGAGGCTGGAAGCCGGAGCCGTGAAGGAAGCCTGTCTGCCCCCTGTAGACTGTGATGTAGGCCCAGCGCAGAGGAGTGAGTGTCTGCTTTCATTCCTCATTTGTCCCCTTCATCCTCTCTCTGCTCATTACTTGGTTCCCTTTGATAGAACATGGGAGGCAGACATGGATTGCTAGGTAGCAGGCTTTTACAACTATGATTTCATTCCATTTTGAAGTTTCTCTCAAAATGGCTGATTTATTTTCCTCTCATGGGTGCATTATGTATGTGTTGTTTTGTGAGATCAGTGAATTCAGACAGGCCCTCCACGCTTTTGTTCTCCAACCCCAGCCATGCGGTGCAATGCGGCAGCTCAGAGACGCAGAGAGCCACGCTGGGCTCTGGAAGAGACAAAGGCACAAATCCCACCTGGTTTCCTTCAAAACAAGCTACTGGTTTGCAACAAACTACTGGATGGTGATAAAAAAGGTTCTTACCTGTTTACTTAATGGGTGGCTGGCCGCTTTGCTTTTATTTAGCCATCTGTTCTGGTCTATGTCCCTTTAAACTTGTAAGATCCATCACCTCATTTAAGCTGTTACCTTGACACATTGCAATGTTGTGGACATAATGATCCCACAGAGGAACAAATTAAAACAGTTTTTCATGATTAGAAGGTTAAATGAGGTAGGGCTGTGGTAGTAAGTGGTGAGATAAGGGGTTTTGAGGAAGCAGAACTCAAGGGACTTTCAGGTGATTGGAAAATTAGGCTGGCTAGACAGAGGGATGGATGGGGCTTTTACAAATTCTGGGAGCTGGGCAAGAGAGAAGTCTTCCTTTGGGTGTCTGACTTTGAGGCCTTATTCTGCTGCCCTTTCAGAGACTGTGACCATGGGCCCAGGGAGGATTCAGGGGCCAGGCTTGGGCTTCTTTTCTTCTTTGGGACATTCTGTGAGGAGTAAAAGGAAGCTGACTCTACCAGAAAGTGGCAAGCTAAAAACAACAGCACCACCAACAAGCATTCAGTCTTTCCCAGAAAGTTATTTGGTTTCCCTTAAGTTTGAAGAAGAGTCAAGGGCAAAGCCCTTTCTTCAGGAAGGAATATTTCATTGTGTTTTCACCCTGGAGAGAGGGCAGTGTTGTTCCTAACATCTGTCCTCAGCTGTCTTCTTTCTTCTTACTCTAGACTTGATTTTCTGTCCGACCCCTTGATGACCCATTTGTCCTTGAGAACTAGGCCTTAGAAAGTCAAGCTCTTTGTCCACTTACTCTCTTAAATCATTTCCTGCCCTGACCACCCTGGCTTCTCCTGATACGATTAGTGTTATTGCAGCTACCTGAACTCAACATCTCAGGCATCTCTGGATTTTCTGTCTGGCACTTCCGTTCAGTCAGAAGCCAAGGTTTCTGTCTTCCACCTAAATTGAGTTGCTCATGTCTTTTCTCACCTTTTTACTCCCCCCTGCCACTGTTCTCACTTCCATCCCTCATTACTTCTGTCCTAGACAATTGGAATATCTCCCAACTAGTTCCTGCCTATGTTTGGTTTCACTCTGCTCCAAAGTGCCTCAAACACTGGCGACTGATTATAATATAACAGTCACATTTCAAAAATTAAATAATTAAACAAAAAATCTCCTTCAGTTTTCCGTCATCCAACAAACTCAGTAGAGACTTCTCAGCTTGGTATCTGAGACAGTCTATAAAGTTATCATCTTTATTTTCAGCTTTTTCTTTTTCTCTGTGTCACAGTAAAACAAAATGCTATGTGGCTATGAATAACCTCATGTTTTCTTGCCTCCTTTCTCTGTTCCCTCTTCCTAGAAAGCTCTGCTCACACATGTCTAGTGAAAAATGCATGCATTTTATCAAGTTCAAGACAAATACAGCTCTCCTTTCCCCATGGCAGTCTGATGCAGTTGCTCCTACTCTGGTTTGATGACAAACCCATTTAGGTGATGTTCTTATGCTGCTTGATGTGGTTTTTTCCCTACTGTTAGCTTTTTTGAATCTTACTTTTGCATATCCTATAGCACAAAGTTTCTTGCCTATAAACTGTGCTAGATAAAGATACAGAATAATGCTTTATAATGAGACTGGGTCTACCAGAATGTGCAAAATCCATTTATTCATTCACACAGATGTTTGTGGGTGCTTACAGTATGTACTGTGTTAAAGACCTAGGATACAGGGCAATATGGCATAGTGCAGCTCAGTTCTCCAGAAACTCAAAATTTCATGAAAGAAAAGTCATGTAAGGAATTAAGCCATGAAAAATGCACAATAGGAGAAGGGCCTTCAAAGTACTGGAGTGGTGGGACTTCTTACCTCTATCAGAGTAGATAGGTTGGGGGTGAGGTGATGATACTGGGGAGGAAAATGAACAGATAGGAAAGGCTTCCTATAGATAGGAAAGTCTGACTCGGGTTTTGAAAGCTGCATAGGAGTCACCGAGGATGATAGGAAGGTAAGGCGAGATAGGAATGGGATGGAAATATGATCCATACTCAGTTTGTTTTCAGAGGCTCAGGGCATTAGGGCAATCTGGGCACTAAATAATTGTTTTCTGTCTCCAAGTGAAACATTCTTTTTCTGAGACTGTTTTTGATTGAAAGTCATTCATTCTTTTTTTTAATGTTTTGTAGAGAAAGTCTGTGATTGCAGTGAGCTTCATAGCAGCATTCCTGTTCCTGCTGGTGGTGCGCCTTGTAAATGAAGTGAATTTCCCATTGCTACTAAACTGCTTTGGACAACCTGGTGCGAAATGGATACCATTCTCCTATACATACAGGCGGCCCCTTCGAACTCACTATGGATACATAAATGTGAGGACGCAAGAGGTAAGACCTCAGAGGGTCACGTAGGGTTTGAGGGTGTCCGTGGTAACAACTTTTCTTTGGGCGCGAGGTGGCTTCCCATCACTGAACTTCCTCTGTGGCCCAGTGAGCTTCTTTGGGTCCCTGACATTTCCTGTTTTTTCATTCTTAGACACTTTCTGACACATGTCTACAGTCTGCTGCCCCCTCCTGCATCAGATCTTCTGATTCACTGGCTTCATGTGGAGTTGAGGAAGCAATTACTTGTCTTCCTGGTGGTTTGTGGCATAACATACATATCTTTCCATTTAGAAACTCTGATCAGCAGTCACCAGCTGGAGAAATGGCTGGCTTTATTTCCTGGAGGTCAGCTGGTTGGGGACAGCTCTTTGTAGAACTGCAAAGAGGCATTTATACTCTTTAAAACTCTGTAATCCTTAGACCTGGAGCTAGAAAAGGCCAAGCTGATTTAAAAATTCTCAGTGGCTGCAGAGATAATGGGATTTAAAGAGTTTCCAAATTTAAAGGGGTTAAAATCATTCAAATCCTATAATCACTGAACCTCTAAATCTTTGTAGCCCATTGGTGGTACAGAAGAGGATGGGGGTATATTGACAAGTAGAAAGTGCACACTGTGCTAGCATTTTTGCAAGCAAGGATTTGTGTCATGGAGTGAAGTAAAAATAAAAAGCCTCACAAAATGTATGCAGTGTATAGAACTGATTAATATAATTGTTTTCACTATTTGTTTCCATGGAGTGGGATGTATGAGATTAATAGTCATCGCTGCCAAGTCCAAGCCTTTGGAATTTGTTGGTGACAAAGGTACAAATCACGAGTGTGTCTACATCACTGGAAAGAATTTTGGATCAGATCCCACTGAAAGGTCATTTTTGCAAAAATACTAGAGAAGAGAATTACCCACAGAATGCAACTCCCATCCCAAGAATTATTCATAGCGTCAGTGAGGGATGTTGAAAACTGGCTTTGTCCATCCCCTTTTATAGGCAATATCATGTCTGAGTCATTGCTTCTGGTTAATTTGATTCTTTGAAAATTGTTTCTATATATGCATGATTTATAGGCTTTTATTAGACTTTATAGTTAAAAAGAAAAAGGCACCATTAATAACATATAAATTCTTAGGAGCCTTGCTTGATGTTTATCCTTTAATTGGCTTTGAATTAATTCTTTTAAAGTGTCTATTGCTTGAATTTGTTGAATGTCCTAATAAATTGATTACTTATATAAAAATGTATCTTTTAGAGAATAGTTTGTTTCACTTTTGTCTTTTGTTACTTTATTTCAGACTGTCATTTAATATTCTATAACTCTACTGGATTGTGTTAATCATTTCCCAAGTGCCTCTCATGGGTAGAAAATGAAACATGTGACTGAACTGTCTCACAAATTACTCTCATGAGAGAAATCTCACCAAATATCAAAGAACCTTTCATTTGTTTATATAATAATGGATTGGATTTTGGAGTGTTAAGAACAAAATTGACCTAGGGCTGCGATTATTTAATTACTCATATTAACTAGCCACTTTTGAAATTCTTTTGGTGTGATTTGTAATACAATGACTTTGCTACAAGATATTAATCATTATTTTGATCCTGTGAAGGTAATTTCTTGAGAGGGAACATGATTACTGGAAAGAGTTTTTAACAGATGCACACAGGCATGATTTGAGTACTAGTTCTCACACTTAGAAAAACAAGATCAACTAGCAAGTTACGGAAATGGCAACCCAATCCAGTATTCTTGCCTGGAAAGTCTCATGGACAGAAGAGCCTGGCGGACTACAGTCCATGGGGTTGCAAGAGTCGGACACAACTTAGTGACTAAACTACCACAGCAAGTTATTATGAGGATTAAATAGGACAAAGTACATGAAATGCCCAGCTCTAAACTGATGTTCAATGAATGAGTTTCTTTTGCTTGCTTTGTACTTATCAGTTATGTCATAAAATGCCTAGTATGCACAACACCAAAATACAAAATTTGAGAGTATGAAATTTAAAATTTTAAGGAATCTGGATTCAAGGCAGTAAATAAATGAAGGAGTGACTTCCTAGTATCATTAGAAATCAAAGTTTTGCAAATTTAAAACCACAATGAGAAGGAAGAAAAAAGCACAAGGAGGTGAATGCTCACTAAAAACCAGATTGACCAAAAAAATCAAGAATCTGACAATACCAAGTGTTGGTGATGATGATGTGGACCAATAGGAACTCATATACTAGTAGAGGGAATAATTACTTTGGGAAAAACAGCTTCCCATTTTCTAGTAAAGGTGAAGATCTGCATATTCTACATCCCAGCATTTCTAATCATCCATGCATTCAGTTGAGACATGCATGAACACATGTAGTGGGAGGCATAGATGACATGTATAACAGTATTATTATAAAACCTGGACATGTCTCTTAGTAGGAAAATGGTTAAATGGTTAAATCAATGGAAATGAGGAAATTGCAACTATATGTGACAACATGTGGGCTTCCCAGCTGGCGCTAGTGGTTAAGAACCCGCCTGCCACCGCTGGAGACCTAAGAGATGAAAGTTCGATCCCTGGGTCAGGAAGATTCCCTGGAGGAGGGCACGAGAATCCACTCCAGTATCCTTGCCTGGAGAATCCCGTGGACAGAGGAGCCTGGCAGGCTACAGTTCATAAAGTCGCAAAATTGGACACAACTGAAGTGACTTAGCATGGGCACACATGACAACATGTATGGATCTTAGAAAAGCATAATTTTGAGCAAAAGATGCAAAAATAAAAGAACACAAACAGTGTGATTCAATTTACAGATCAGAGGAAAACTTAAAGCTAAGTGGTATTGTTTAGGGAAAGGTATAGGAGGTGTTCTTGCCTGGAGAATCCCAGGGATGGGGTCGCACAGAGTCAGACACGACTGAAGTGAAGTGACTTAGCATAGGAGGTAAAAACTGAAAAGGAAAAAAAAAGCAAGGGAATTATTGATAAGTGAGAAGAGCAGTTACCTCTGAGAGAAACTTGTGGTTTGTGATTCATGTGAGTTTCTAAGATATCAGCAACATCCTATGTCTTGAATCAGCTGGAAGTTATATGTGGTTCACATTCTGAATATTTGCAAAATATGTCTTCGTATTGTATGCACTGTATATCTATTTTTTTTTTTTTTTTTTTTTTATTTCCTTTGTTCCCTCAAGGCATATGCTTTATTTTTTTTTTTTTTTTTTTTTTTTTTTTTTTTTTTTTTTTTTTTTTTTTTTTTTTTTTTTTTTTTTTTTTTTTTTTTTTTTTTTTTTTTTTTTTTTTTTTTTTTTTTTTTTTTTTTTTTTTTTTTTTTTTTTTTTTTTTTTTTTTTTTTTTTTTTTTTTTTTTTTTTTTTTTTTTTTTTTTTTTTTTTTTTTTTTTTTTTTTTTTTTTTTTTTTTTTTTTTTTTTTTTTTTTTTTTTTTTTTTTTTTTTTTTTTTTTTTTTTTTTTTTTTTTTTTTTTTTTTTTTTTTTTTTTTTTTTTTTTTTTTTTTTTTTTTTTTTTTTTTTTTTTTTTTTTTTTTTTTTTTTTTTTTTTTTTTTTTTTTTTTTTTTTTTTTTTTTTTTTTTTTTTTTTTTTTTTTTTTTTTTTTTTTTTTTTTTTTTTTTTTTTTTTTTTTTTTTTTTTTTTTTTTTTTTTTTTTTTTTTTTTTTTTTTTTTTTTTTTTTTTTTTTTTTTTTTTTTTTTTTTTTTTTTTTTTTTTTTTTTTTTTTTTTTTTTTTTTTTTTTTTTTTTTTTTTTTTTTTTTTTTTTTTTTTTTTTTTTTTTTTTTTTTTTTTTTTTTTTTTTTTTTTTTTTTTTTTTTTTTTTTTTTTTTTTTTTTTTTTTTTTTTTTTTTTTTTTTTTTTTTTTTTTTTTTTTTTTTTTTTTTTTTTTTTTTTNTGTAGGAGAGAAAGTGGTCTCTCCGTCCTATTCCTCCGCCATCTTGGCTCCTCCCCCCTGTATATCTATTTTATAAAAAAAAGTTAAAAGTACATTCTGAGCCAAAGTAGGGTATTAATTCATGAAGAATCACACAAAATATTTTATCTACTTTAACAGCAAGAAATGAAAGAAAGAAAAGCAATGGTGTATTAACCTATATAAAATAAACTAGAAATATTTGAAATAGGCACATTTCATTTTAAGCAAAAACTAGCAGATATACAGGTTACTTATTCCTCTAGCCTATGCAAGATAGAAAGGGAGGTCCCATGCTGAAACATTAGTGCAAGTAATAAGCAGAAGAATTTTCACAGAAGCTTAAAAACAATGTATAACAGCCCAAAAGAATGACAGATTTTCCTCCGAACTCTGATAGTTGTAAGGCTAAATTGGGAGGAAGACAAAATTTGGTGGCTCTTTACCTCCATCCTTGTTATTTCATCTTTCTCAAAATTCTTCTCTTCCTACCACAAGTCTTCATTCTCTTACTCCCAAATGCTCTGTGCATGGGTCCTCACTGAATAATGGCTTTAAGTGCAGGCCTTCCCAGAGATAGTTGCATTAGACTATTAGACTCAGAAAGAAAATTCTTCAGGAGTCTAAGTAATACAGCAAAAATGATAAGTGGTGGATTTTATGTTCTAGGGCAAATAGCTATAGTAGTGGCCCTTGAATTTTGTTTCAAGGGTAACCACACACTCTATTCTAATCTGGAAAAAGAGTCAAGTGGTCACCAAGATGATCTATTTATTTCAAGATCTTGGTCCTTGAGGTTTTCTCAGAAGTTTCTCAGAAGAAAGCACATGCTTTCTAGACACCACCAGATGTCCAAGAATTTTTTGAACATGTTGACTTGCCAGCAATGATTTCCAGGCTCAAAGCAGCTACAAGCATGACATTGTCAATGATGGTTTTATTGCCCAGTGTTTCAGTTGAATCAGACATTACTGCCACTAGCCTAAGATATTATGAGCAGAAATGTTTACAAGAAAGGATGTCTCTCCACTACTGTCTAAATAAAGATGCGGGATGAGAGTGGCAGAATTAGGTTGAAGATTTTGTGGACACCAGAGAGCTGAGTTGCCTGGGGGCAAGCTGTGATTATTTTGCTATCTTTAAAAGTGAGCTGAGTTCTGGTCCTTTAGGCTTGGCACAAGTGGAAGTATAAGCTGTCTCATGAATCTATGACAATCTGTCATGAAGAACTCTCATGTAGTAAATTATACCCAGTTGAAGCTTGGCTTCATTTGATCAATTCACCTAGTTTTTGAACAATCTATTCCCCAAGGAAGTACAAGAAGTAAAAGTATAAAGAACACAAGAGAGAGAAATAGATGAACTTGCTTATATTTCATATGTTGTTGTTCAGTTGCTAAGTTGTGTCTGACTCTTTGTGACCCCGTGGACTGTAGCATGCCAGCCTTCCCTGTCCTTCACTATCTCCCAGATTTTGCTCAAACTCCACTGAGTCAGTGATGTTATCCAACCATCACATTTCATATGGTTGGAGTATTTTCTTTTCCTGGTCCAGATCCATAAAAAAGGAACATGTAGTGAAAATTATGAGGTCCAGTCTAGAGGAGATAAATTGAAAGAATTAAAATACCCATCCCACCATAATAATGACAGTCTAAATATTGGCTCCCATCTTTTGCCCTGTCCCCCTTCCCTTTCTTAATATAGACTAAAGTTCTTATATTTGGGGGATGAGAAATCTTGAGAAGCAGGGTAACAAAATGAGTGTCAACTAACCTGGTGAGTGATGAAATTCAGGAAGCCCCCGCTGAGCAGAGAACCCAGAATTCCTCATCAATACTTGTTTGAGCTGACAACCACCAAGAGGCAGTGCCATACTGAAGCTGAGACCAGGAAAGACTTAGATTTCATAATAGGTCCTATAGCTCCCCTGTGTCCCACCCCTGCTTTAATCCCTGGCCCCCGAGCTGCTCATGCGTGCCCTCTCATGTCACTATTGATGAAGAAGGCAACCTTCTATTTTAATAGGACCGAATTTGAGAAACTCCACCTATAGCTTTATGGCAGTTCCTGAATTATTATTTGACCTTGGACATAGCAAAAAGCATAAAACACCCATATGTGTTTCAAAAAGACATATCTATGCTTGTCAATATTGTGGGAATTCTCCTTTCTCCTTAATACAGATTTTACTGATTCATTTTGTGGCAAAATAAAAGGTATAAAAGACTAAGGGACTGCAGGGCTTGGTTACAGGTAATCATTGTTTCTCCCTGTTGAGATCATGGCAGATCTGAGGAAAGAGAGGGAAATGAACTCTAGGCTAGATTCTATTTGTGATCTCCAGACCATGGACTCTGTTGTCTTTTTGGTTGGTGACCTGATGTGAAGACATTGCTCAGAGAAAGCAACCTGAAAGGTATTTGCATTAACTGCCAGATAAGAGACTCAAGCTCTGGGGATCAATAGGATGCCACAGCCAGATCTTCCTGGTAATGGGGAGGAGGGTGACAGGTATCTCCTTCAGATCTGATAAGAGAATCCTAACACACTAGAACTGCAGAGGATTTCAGGTGTTTGGGGAAGAATGCTTATTCAGGTGGTGCTAAAGATGCACTAAGTGAAGAGGAGCAGGATTTCTAGAACATAGCAATCAAGTTGTAGGGCTGTATATTGATTTAACAATTTAATGAGGCCGAAATATGTCTCCTTAAAAAATGAGGACATTTTAAAACCTCAAGTAGACTAAATAAGAATACATAGGATCAGTTGCTGTGACAGGCCATACTAGCCTAATTAAAGATGTGCATACCATATTGATGTTGTAATAGAATTTCCCAAATTGTGGTTATAGCAACAATTAAGAAACAGAGATGACTTTC